GGTTTTTTGTTTTTTGCTTCGCTAGCGATCATCAAAATTCTATCATTTGATTGGCTGTTGATCACATGATGTGCCTCCACTTTAGACGACCCCATTTGGTTACTGATGATCGCATCTTATTTAGTAATGATCATTGGTTAGATTACTTTAGATTTTTCTTTTAGAATATTTATATATCATATACTATGCACATTATATCCCAGGTCTAATTTAAAAACCAAACAAGTAGAGATAGCAGTAGTCAATAATTTATGAGCTTAGTTACATTCCTATTATATAGCAGTGCTACATGGTACTAAGTTAAAGCATGTAGTAACATTTTGAGTTGCAATACACTAATTTGAAATCAGGTAGAATCTCAAAGTATTTATTATACTTTGCGAAGTGTTTTTAGTTTATCATCAAACACTTATAGCATTTAATTTACTTTATGGCAAATTAGACTCAGAACTTGTCTTATTTTAAAGCAATACTGTAATTATCTAAGTTTACTTAAATTGAAGACAAAAATAGACTTTCTTGTTAAGACATATATGAATTTGATCTGAGTTTTTTGTTTTAAATTGGAATTGCTACAGTGTGTTTTGTAATACTAGATGTTTTTGATAATATCACAGGTAATTCATTTATCAACTAGAATTATAGGATTAATTTATTTGGGTTTTTTTTATTTGATTTAATATAATTAACTAAGTTTTTGATATTATTCCAAATAAGCAGGAACTTCTGATTAGAGATGTAAGTACAATGCATAAATTCATTATAATTACAACTAATTATAGTATTGTGCTTACATCTCTATCCTAATTTCTAAACCCAAATTAAAAAAAATAGTTGATCATATCCCTGATATTAGGATCCCATATATATGTATGCGAAATAAGTAATAAAAAGAGTTAAATATTAGGAGCATATCCTGCTCACTATATCAAGATCGCAGAATATTAATCAGTTATATCCTGAGTACTATAGATATAAGCAGAAATTTCATTTCCACTTATACCCAACTACCTAGGATATAACTATTACAAATACATTTCAATTGCTTGTACATGGCATAATAATCTACAAGACTAATCGTGAGACTCCTGATTGATTCATAACAAAAATCAGATAATGGAAAAAAAGATCAGTTGTAAAAGGAGAAATTAGCACCTGGAAGTTGTTGTGATTTAAAAGTTATACAATTCTTAAAATTCCTAGAATCTTAATCCCAAGTATTTAAAATATTGTAATATCTAATTTGAAATTCATCTTGATTATCTGCTTTTCATTACTAGAGTTAATTAAAATAGTTTGATAATGTTAGTATTAGTATTTGTATAGTTTAGTTTTTTTGACACATCATAGTTTCAGAATCCTGTTCTGATCAATTAGCTCTCTTCAGTTACTTAATTATAATTTAATTGATTCAAATCACTAGCTTAACACAAATAATAAAATTGTACAATTAATAAAATGCTTTAAATAGTTTATTTAAATATAGAACAATATAATAAACTTTAAATAATTAATTATAATAAGTAAAATAGTGAACTAATATCAATTCAGTATACCGATTAATAAAGATCCTTATACTTACTAGCTAATCAATGAGAGTAGACCCAGCCTGGTATTAAAGCATAATATTGCTTAAAAATGAATATAGAACAAAGCAAAACAATATTGCAATAAAAAAAAGTCGCTAATAATATAACAAAATTCAGAAATTATGCTCTTATATTTTAATTTGTACAAACCTGATCGTTAGATTTGGCATCTTATCTACTTTTTCGAGAAGAGTTAACTTAAGTAGATTATTGTGGATTATTTAAACTAGAGGTTTTCTACTATCTACTTATGTATCTACTTGTAAGTTTCTAATAATAAGTTAAACCTGTAAAAATTTTCTAAAAAAATATAATGAAAAAGTATACAAGAGTCAATCAAGATCAAGAATTAATATGTAGATCATTTTAGAACCTGATTTTTTAATTTGGTATATTCTCTAACTATAGTACGGATATCTAAACTCTTTGACAAATCCAAGAGAACTTTGTAAAGCGTGTTGTGTTATCCCATTACAACAGTATCAACACCAGCATTTACTAATTTCTGGACTTGGTATTTTGTCACCTACCCTGTCTATCAATATACTGAATATACAAGTTATCTTTTCCAGTATATATAACAACTTAGGGACCCTACAGAGAATGATTTTCAAGCTTTAATCTACACTTGTCAGTATCTGCAAGATCCAGGTTTTAATATATTACTCAGATATTTACGTCGAGTATATCAAGAAACTGCATGGTTTAATCGTGACCCTTTTGAAATTCTTTACGGGCCTGTTAAATCATTGTCAGAATCAGAAAACTCAGATTTGGATTTAGAGCTTCTCAGATTATTTCGAACTCCTTCCCCACCTCCTGTAGTACAAAATATAGCTAATGCTCAAGATGTATTAAATTACCTCCAAAATAATCAAAAAGACCCATTTTATTAAAGGTTGAATTGTTTTACGGTGACAGAACACAAGATCCGCAGACATGGTTAGAAAGTTTTGAAAAAGCTGCCACTGCTAATAGATGGAATAATAGATGAAAAAGAGATATTTACCTGTTTTTATATATGGTAATGCTGATGAATAGCAGCAAACTTACTTTGTTGTAACTTCTGTAACTAATAACACCAGTAATGATTAGACAGCCACTACAATGGCCTTTAACAATCAATTCTGCACTCAATGTTAGAAAAATAAGTGGTTGCAAGACCTCAATACATTAAAACAACTTCTAAGAGAATCTGTGAATACATATGATAGTAAGTTTAAAAAGTTAGTAAGGCAGGCTGAAACAGGAATAGCTTTCCATAATAAACAAAAATTATATTATTTCAAGAAAGGTCTTCGCCCGGATATGTTTTCCCTTATTTTGATGCATGCACTCGCTGACCTTAATGATATTCGTGACTTAGCTTATGTCTACAAACAGGGAACTAATTTTGTTTTGAATCATGGTCCTAAACTATTGAACAAATCTAGGAATTATGATAAAAAAATAGACCAGTTAACTAAATAATTAAAACAAATAATCTTAAACTACATTACTATAGCCACAGCACTTATGGTACAAGCGAATGTGTCTAAGTCAGGATCATTCTGGTCTAATCAAAATTCAAATAATCAAAGAAATCCTACCTATACTTGCTTTAGGTATAGTAAATACGATTATTATGCTATAGATTGTATGTCAGAACTATTACTATTTAGAGATCAACAATGTCGAGTTCCTAGATGATTTAATAATAATAACCCAAGCAGAAATATGAATTTTATTAATACTGAATATAATATTGAGCAAAAAAAGAAGGTTTATATAACCTGGCACCAGCCATATAGTACTAATCATAAGAAGCAGAAAGGCAAACAAGCAGTACCACGTTTGCGTAAAATAGCACCCAAACCCACTATTGCTACTAAAGTCCTAATAGATATGAAAACTAATACCAACCTGCTACCCATTAAAAAAATTGTTAAAAAATGGTTGCTGTCTATTGTTGACAAACTTGATCTGTATAATATATCAGAAGACTTGCTAACTATGCTAGCATGTGTCACTTATGGTCAATTGTTACAATACCCAAATCAGCATCGTAACTTGGCCAAGGCATTAAGAAGAAAGAAGGCTTTAACTACTGAGGCTAATTATTCGCAAGCCTATAACAACCAAAAGACAGTTGCTATATGTTGTTATGTACGCATTAAAGGAAATTTGGTTATTGCTATATTAGATTTGGGAGCTGCTGTTAGTATTATCACAGATCGGTTTATGCAGAAGCTTGGTCTGGTTATTAATAAACCTTCTAATACAATAGTAAAGACAGCAAATAGAAGTCAGGCTAAAACCTTAGGAATAGTAAGCAATATCCATATAACTCTGTACGATATCATGATTCTAATAGACTTGCAGGTAATCGAGTCCTAAGAAGAAATTCTACTTTTGGGAACAGACTGGTTTAATAAGTCTAGAGCTAAATTAGACTTTGATAAGAGTACTTTACATGTAAGGTATTTAGGCAAACAAACCACTATTAATGCCACACATGTAAGTAATCAGGTCTCCGATCAAGAGTTTGAGGAATTCACTGATGAGGACGAATGGATTGATGAACTTGAGAATGATAATGAAAAGGTTCATGAGATATTCTATATAGATGAGTACTTTTTAGAGAAAGATGAGTTGTACTATAATCTATAGACAGATCAAAACCTGGCAATATATTTGACAGAATCGTTACCGAATTACCAAAAATCTGCAGAAATCCTCTTTGATATAAGTACCGACCTACCAACAATTCAGAAACAACAGATTAAGAATCTACTACAAGAAAGTATATATATCTTCGCAGAAAAGATTAGTAGAAGTGGTCAAACCATTGGACTTGGACAGACCAACTTAGTAGTCCATAAAATTAACACAGGAAATATGCCACTAGTCAAACAGTATCCATATAATACGTTTCGTGACGAACAAGAATTTCTTAAACAAGAAATTCTTGCTATGGAAAAGCAGGGCATAATTAGGCCAATTAAAAGTTCTTGGGCCTCACCCGTAGTACTTGTTTCTAAAAAAAATAGTAATAAGCGACTTTGTATAGATTATCATAAATTAAATGCAGTTACTGAAAAAGATATTTATCTCTTACCTAATATTAATGAGATCTTGTCTATATTTGAGGGAGCCAAGTGGTTCACTAGTCTTGATTTAGCTAGTGAGTATTAGCAAGTTGCAATTAGGAAGGAAGATCAAATCAAAACGGCTTTCATCACAAAATTCAAAATCTATGTTTTCAATATAATGCTGTTTGGACTATGTAATATACCGCCCACCTTCCAATGTTTAATGAATAATATTTTCAACCCTTTCATCAGCAAATTTGCGGTGATAACCTTGACAATATTACGGTATACTCAGAGACCTTCAAAGATTATCTGAAACACCTTCGTCACATGCTTAATAAAATCAAGGAAGCTGGTCTAAAGCTAGATGCCAAAAAGTATTCATTCTTTTATAACAAAATTAAGTTTTTGGAATATATAATCAGTGACAATAGAATTTCACCTGACAAAGACAAAATTAAAAAAATCAGAGACTTTCTGGTACCTGTTATAGTTAAAGAAATACAGTCATTTCTAGGTCTTGCATCGTATTATCAGAAATTTATAAAGAAATTTGCTAAGATCGACAAACCACTAAACCTACTGTTATAGAACAGTTTATTATTTTATTAGTTTATTATTCCGATATTGTATTTTATTATTTATTTTATTATTAT